TGTATCTTGGTACGGAACTGGGGACACTCAATGGATTGAAGATAAACCGGAGATTGCGATGATCCGTGTACAACGTAAATCCACCCTGTCGATGCGAGAGATAATCCGCACGCTGACTGGTGGCCACTATAGCAAAAGCCTATTTTTCCACGATGGTCCATGACAGCGCAGATCCTGAAAAGGTTCCGCTAAGAAACATCAGCGGCTCGTGATGCTGCTCCGAGCAAATTCGGTCTATGCGGTCCGGTGGAATTTGACTTACAATTGCTCCCCAATGTGACTCGCTAGCATCGGTAAATACCGAGAGTGGGTAGTTCGCTTTGGCATGAGCGAGTTCCACTGCGTTGCCGAATGCCTCTTTACAGGCGTGGAGGCACTGTGTGTGTTCGGATGTCCAGCCAACGTCAGCTAATTTTACCTGTAAAACTTGGCGACGGGTGCGTCCACCAGCCTTCCGATATACTTCCTCCAAGAGGTCCATCAGAGGCTGCGTCAACTTGTTGTGGCCAGGGGTGGACATCCTCATCCCGCTTAGCGCACACACAAATTGTTGCAGATCCTGACCGGTAGCGGGTACATCTAGCTCTTGAAGAGCTCTTATCCGTTCCGGAACGTGGCGGACTCCATGTTTTGAGATCACGCGTCCACACCATTTTGCTTCCTTCAGGTAAAAAGAACACTTTGAGGGATTCAACTTTAATCCCTTGGTAGCACACACTCAAAGAACTCCTCGTAGCAGCGTAAGCAAACCATCCTCTGACTTCGGGTAACCCAGTAGGTCGTTCAGCCAGATTAACAGCCCGTTGTATAAGAAGTCTTGGAACATCTCTTGGACTATGGCTTGGCAGTAGGCCACGCTGTCTGACCCCCCCCATAAGGACGCGTGTCGGCGTAAAGATTCCCATGTCCGTAAGAAAAGAAAATAATTCCTGACACTCGAGTGACAACAGAAACTGCCAGTACGCCTTAAAGAAGTCAGCAGAAAATAGAGCTCTGATTCATCCAGATAGTCCGTGATTACTTCCAGAATGGGCATTGGCCAGAGAAGCCTAATTGTCTGAGCATTCACGTGACGAACGTTCACTGTCATGCGAAATTGACCCGGATGCGCTTTCTTCACAATCAGAGGAGGGGAACACCACTTGCTGTGAGGATTGCGATAGCAAAGTCCAGCATCAATGAGTTCTTGGACATATTTCTTCACAAATACCCGGTGCTCTGGCGGATACCGCCGAGCCTTACACCTCGATGGCACAGCGTCCGGTTTTAGAGTCACTTTCAGGAGCGGCATGTCGACTGGAGGGTCCCGCCCGAGTTTAATGCGAAAAACATCACGGTATTCCAAGAGGATTTGGGTTAGTTCAGTGCGGAAAGCAAGTCTGCACCCCAGCTTCGCAGCCTCCTCCAGCTTAGCTTCCAGCATACTCCACTCGACTGCACGCTCATCCTCTCGGTCCTGAGCGAAATCTACTTCTGGAAAACAGCATTGTTCCTCCACTTCCTGCAATCCTTGCTCCTCCAGCGTAGTCGCTGGTTGCTGACCCGTTGATGCATATGCTAGGCCCGTCGGACACCGCTCACCTCGGAGCCGTCATCCATGTCGTATATTCCACTCACGCGTCGTGCCTTATCCAGAAGTTCTTGAGGATTGTAGCCTAGTCGTCCCTTGACGCTTTCACTTAAAATAATATCCCCCATGCCAGGGGGAAGGCCCGCACCCACCACCCAACAGGTGACGTGTTTTTAGCGTCAAATTCCCATTGGCGGTAGCAAACTGCAGATCCGACTTGACCTCTTGAGTGATAATCATCGGTTCCTTGGTGATGCCCTCGATCGAATCGCTTCGTGTAAGGTTCCGACAATTCATCCACTGACCCTTCGCACTGAGTTCCTGGAGTAAACAAGGCGATACAACCGACACTTCCGCTCCGCTGTCCGGTTTAGCCTTGGCTTCTACCACCCCGTTAACCATACACTGTAGCAGACTGGGGCGCCGCGCGTGTGGAGTAGTCTGCACCTTACTGAGTACCGCAGGAATTTGTGGAGCTAGTGCGACAGCGCTCACTGTCTTCGACTGCTTCCGGTGTTTTTCATACAGCTCCTTGGCTTCAGTGGCACTCGCCAACGGACAATGAAACACCCCGTGCGTTACATCACCGCACTTAAAGCACTTGCGTGGTTGCCCCGGTACTTTGGTAGCCGACGACGTTCCTGGAGGAGACCCCCGGCGCGGGACTGCGTCTTTAGAGACTGCTTCACCTGGAGCTCGTTGAAACCGGTCGTTTCTACGCGTATTCTGTGGCTTGAAATTAGTCTTGCCTAGGTTCGATAGAGCACCTCCACTTGGGGTAGACGAAACCGTGTGCTGAATTGCGGACTCAAAAAGCAAAAACGCCGATACTCGAGACTTGAGCCAATCCAGAAACACCTATACCGACTTCTTAGTGGACTTGTGGACTATGCGTTTCAGCTCCGTAATGACCGTCTGCTTGAGGGCTTGAGGCTTCAGGGCTGCACACAAGAACTTCACTGCCATTTTGGGCTCTTCCAGCGGGAAGTCATCCATATCCTGCGAGTTGAGAATCTCGTTAAAGTCTGTCACCAGTTTCATCACACGTGATTCTGCATCCGGTAGGGATGCATCCATGGACAGCGCCCGCATGGCCTCTGCCAATCGCGCGGGGTCCTGCACCTCCGAACGCCTTGCTTCAAGGAAATACTACTTCCACTCATCTTCGGTGATTTCCGACTCGGCGTTACCAATCGCATACATACTTATTCGGATTAGTGTCCGATGCTCGATACAGGCGCTCAAGGGCATCACAAAAACCCTTCCGGCCGAACCCTGATGTAGCGCGGTGACTCTCCGCTTGTATATGAGATAACTATCCATAAACGCCTTCTTCTCCTTCTTTGTGGCTCCTCGGTACACAGGAGGCGACGGCATGTTCGAGCACGTCGCCACGGTGATTGTCGGCTCGACTCGGCTCTCACTTAGGTCTCCACACGTCATAGCTTCATCACCATCAGCTTCACGAGCAGACTCCGGGCAAACCAGCCCCAGCGGCTCTGCCCCCGTGGGGAAAGTACCTCTACCTTCAGATCCTCGATCTGACGACCTTGGTGTCCCACTATTTCTGCGGCCTCCCGCATCAGCTGGTACTGCTCAAATCGCGCCCTCTGCTGCTCCTCGAGCTGCGCGCTCAATGCAGTCTGTTTGGCGTTCAGCTCAACTTGGTTCTCGTACTGCAGCTGCAAGTACTCAGCCGTTTTCGATGCCCAATGACTCCTGTTGCTGCTGAAACCGGTTGAGTTGCTAGACCGTAAGTGCTGGACTGCCTCAGTTTTCTTGGCAACTTCATCGACCTTCTGCTCCGATTCCGCCTGGAGGCTGCGCGACAGCGACGACTCGAACGTTCGGGTTTGACGCTGCGCCACTACCACATCATCCACGGCCATTCGGGGTGAAAGAGGTGCCCCCTCGGCCAAGTCACGGCTCCCGTGAACTGGACTGCTCATCGCTTCCACTTGCCAGAGCGAAGTGAGCTAAAGAAGTATTTTTTATCGTCCCACTTGTTGTAGATGTAGTAAAAGACAGAATGAATGAAATTGAGGAAGAGTAAGCTTCTTGAAATATGAACTTCGGGTCGTAGCTCACTGCGCGCCTTAACCAGTTGAGTCAATGATCACCGTGGTCTGTCAGTTGAGGTGGTCGTCCACGTCACGTAGCTGCCAGTCCTGTCCCTGATCAGAAGACGGTGTCCGGTGGCCACAGAAACCGCTGCCCTAAAATACACCTACAGCTATCCTAGCACACGCACAGCAAATGGTAACTGAGTTCCTAGGCCGCGTGCACGTAAGTGAATCCGTCGAGATCTATTGCCTTATCGCTCGCGCGTGATCCCGAAGGCTCTTAGTACCGGGGGCTAACTCCACTACCCTCTCTTTGGAGATACGTCACGACGTTGCGGGCTGCTGATACCGACGATCCTACGGGGCTACAATACCCGTCTCTCTAACACACTCTTGGGAAACCCTCACACTCAAGGACTAACACTGCGATGACACTGGCTAACTTGTCTTCTGCGCGAAACGTATCAGACCAATACGCTCGTGGCTCTCTCTGGAAGCGTTTGCCTGCTTCTCTGCTAATCTCGAACTGAGGCTTTCCCTCTACTACCACATGCACTTGGTCTCCCGCTCCCTCATTCAAGCAACAGCGACGCCTCACGAAGATCGCCATTCGCCGCACACTTGCCTTGAGTATACCGGGTCGTCTGGATCTTCAACCGGTTGCTCCTTTAAGGTGGCAGCTGCTCGAAGGTGGATGTTGACTTATCCACTTCACTGTCTTGTCCTCCTGTCCGTTGATCTCCGTCGCTCCTCGCCTGCCGTCCATGTCTGGATAAGATGAGCCCCCAAGAGGATTTCAATCCGCTTACTGAAGCTTAAAAAGAAAACGAACTCCTGTACTCCCCAGCTACGACCAGTCCGGCTCGGCCGGCCAAGCTGGAACTGTTGTGCAATCATTTCACTTACCTCGTGCCTGAATTCGTCTTGAACGCGCGAGCTTCACGCCGGCGCGTCACGCGCCGCAACTCACGACAACTTGATCTCTCTTAATGCATCCTCTTAGCAGGTTCCGGTTGGCCACCTTTAAGTTGTGGCACGTAGATTGGAATACCAGCTGATAGTGAGCTTGAACCTCGCTAGCTGCTGCTACTGGAGCCATCCGGTGACAACACGCAGGTGTGTTAGTATCCAATCCACTGTGGCATCGATCATGAACATATCGATGACGTATTTCGGAGTTTGGGCGTCGTCTAAGCACCTCTGGATTTGCTCCTTCCTTAACTTCATGGCGAGTGCATTTGTGGCTGAGTACGTCTCGGCCAGCTCAAGAGCCCTTGACAGCTCCGTGTCACTGTAAATTGTCCTCAAGGTGGGGATAATCGACTATTTTTTTGTAGGATTCATTGCGCTGGAATCGTCTACGTAGTTCACCCAGGCGTCGAGGTGCGGTTGACCAAAACCGATGCCTTCAATCTTTTAAAGTAAGGCACCATAAACTTGTTCAGTTCAAGCAGCTGAAATACTTCTCGTGTTGATTTTCCCTCGTCAAGACACCGTTGGGTCTGCAGAGACTTTAACCTGGCAGCAGCTTCAACCGAAGCTCTTACTGGTTTTGCTGCACCGAGCAACTGCGAGACTTTTTCGTCCGGGACATCGCTTTGGGAAGGTTTCGATTTCGGCCAGATTTTTTTAGCCACAGATTCGATCGTTTCTGTGATCTTTTCTAGGCTGGGACCCCTTGGAAATCCTCTCTCGTTGTCGTCCACAACTCTCAAGTGCCGTTTGATCAGGTTCTCCTCGACTGGGCGAGTGAAGCGTAGGATACTTAGGTGAACCACCTTGGCTATCACATCCGCTGAGGTAGAATCCAGGACGAAAGCCGCAAGCACCAACAACGCACGGTAGAGAAATTGCATTATGGAAGTTCTTCAAAGCTGGCTTAAATCACGAAGTGATAATTTACTTGGATGTTACTGGATCAATGTGCTAGCAGCTTCGTCACATTTTGAACTTCAGAATGCTCTCGAGGAGGTGAAGATTCGCTGATAGTGGCAGCATGCTGGCATCATCATGTTCCTATTTATGTAACTCGAATACCGAATATAAAATCGTGAAGGTAAATGTGGAATCAAAGATTCCTCGTGCGTCATGAATCACGACTAGATTATTGATTCCAATGTGTTATGGTCTTGAGCGTGACGAAACAAAGTTGACTCTTCATTCACGTTTGATCATTTTGCACCTAGATGTGTGATTACTAGCCTTAGCGCTTTGGTACATTTTACGATCACATGATCTGAGTGTGACGAATCAAAAATAAGACGTAATGATCATACATGCACTACTGATTATAGTACAATAGTGGTTAATCCTGCTACGGTAAACTTGTGTGGTACAGTAAAGCCATTACTTTGTCGAAAGGAATCTGTGGGTGCTCTTTAAAACCACGAATGTAGCTATTGAGAATCTTGATGTTACCGATCATGGATCGCAGGCACTTCGCGCCATTGACGATGCCGTTGGCGACTGCGGTGAAATGCCCGAAAAGTCCTAGAGTGGCCACAGATATCGCAGTCTGCACCACGCTCACATATTTCGCGTAAACTTTCATGCCGCAGTCGTCATTCTGGCGGATGCATTCTATACCACACTGGACGGGATACTGGAGTGGGCACTGCGTCCAACACATTTTCCAATAGTAGTCAAAGCCAACTGGACAGCTGTCCATGATATGCGCTCTGCGGTTGCAAGCCCACTCGCCACGATCTGACTGACCGATGGTGGGGCCGACCCAGTTTCTGTTGCTCGATTCTACCGTACCGGCGGTTTTAGCGATCAATTCAATCGAGATGTCTTCGTTTCCTTCGGCACTCGAGTTATGGGATCTTGAAGATGAAATTCTCTCGCTCTCGAGTTCATTTAACGCGCTAACACCAGTAAATCGCTTAAAGAATAGAGGATCTATCGTGGATATCAATGCTTCATTCACGACAGCAGTCGCACTACTCGAAACTAAATTTTTTATTTACTTGTACTTTGGTAGAAGAAAATACTCCCGCGTTATCGTTTAAGACGACCATTACCAGCGACGTGCTTCGCTAAAGAAAATTATTTAGCGCACCATAACGTCAGTAGTGACCGAATCTACCATGTACTTCGTCACCAAATATGCCCGACAGCACTGCCATAACCGTCCTTAGATACGCCTAGAATTAACATAGTCATGGTACAAATGCAAGCCATGATTGTAAACTAAAAGACTATTAATACTAATCACTTTTTTCCGCAGGCTACAAGAGACTTGAATATACCCGCTTTCTTTTGCAACAACACAGTTGGCGTGTCGTATTCTACCACGTGGCCTGCATCCAATACCAAAATCTTGTCACTGTCCATGATCGTCTCGATACGGTGCGCAATGCACAGCACAGTGCTGTCACCCCCGCCAAAACTCTCCTTCATCGTCTGTTGGATCAACTTATCCGACTCCTGATCCACATTGGCTGTCGCTTCATCCATCACGATCACTTTACTGTCTCGGATCAGTGCACGAGCGATGCACAGTAATTGACGTTGCCCCACGGACAAGTTGTCCCCCTTCTCCGCTACCTCATAGTCGAGTCCTTTTCCCCACGATGACACCGTATCAGCCAAATGAACCTTGCGCAGAACCTCCCACAACTCCGCATCGCTCTTGTCAGCAAACGGGTCCAGGTCCAAACGTAGTGACCCGCTGAAAAGCATCGGATCTTGCGGAATGATCGTCAGCTTTGATCTCAATTGGTGTACCGTAACGGTAGAGATATCCACTCCGTCAATGAGTACGCGACCGGACGTTGGGATCTCTACAACTCGGAAAAGTACACTCATAAGTGAGCTCTTTCCGGACCCGGTACGTCCACAGATACCAACCTTCTCCCCGCTAGCTACAGAAAAAGAAACACTTTTCAACACCAGTGGGAGGTCTTCTCGATACCTCATGGAGACGTTCTCGAATACGACGTCGCCAGTCTTCGGCCAAGCAGGAGATAGCGTAGATTTGTTGGAGGGTGTACGCTCGTACCCTTCTTCATCAAGTGATCCATAGTGAGCAATACGTTCGAAGCTCGTCATGCTACTTTCGACTTTAGTGGCAAGTGTAGTCATCCGTTGGAAACTGGATGACAACTGAGCTGCGTACGTCAACCCGAGACCTGCAACCGATGCACCCACAGTGGACTTGGCTGCAATCGCAAGAACGGCCACAGCTCCAATGATCAACGATACGAGCCAGTCGGATCCCACGTCGAACCAGCGACCTGATACCTGCGCCAGGAAGAAAATCCTCATGTTTCTGTTGAGCAGTTCTTCGCATCGAGAGGCGAAGGCGTCCACCATTTTGTACGACCGCACAGTCTCGATACCCGAGATGGTCTCGGACATTAAGTTAAGGAAAGGTGATCGGGTGACTCCGTCCAGACGCTTCAGCTCTCGAGCGGAAGCTCGGTAAACATTGGCAGCGAACCAGCATCCGTACCCGACTGGAGCGTACACGATCAGTACGAATGGGTTCACGAACGCACAGACGATAAAGGAAGAAGCCACTTGGAAAATGCACAGCACCAGCCACAGACCCCAGTACGGTAAAGGGTTGTCAACCTCGTCGAGATCTCTAGAAAACCGGTTCAAGATCCGACCGATGGGTGTGACATCGAAGAACGTGGTGATCGGAGCTGCCATCACCTTCTGCAGGTGTTTAAAGTGGATCTTCAGTGAACAGACCATGCAGATGGTCATGAAGAAGAGACACCGACCCAGGGACAGGAGAGCTGCTAGGACGACAATCCCGATATATACTGTTAGTGAGCTCATCTGGCTGAGCCCCAACGAATCTTGGGACCACTGACTCAGGAACCAATCACACCCGAACAACACCACTTGAGCAATAGTAAACAACACGATCATGAGCCCAACAAGAACACGTCCATCCCATTCCGAGCTGGCGAGATAGTCGACGTACGATTGCAACTTGACAGCCCCCACAAGTCGCTCTTCTGTCGTCGTTAGTTTTCCAGAAGATGGTGCTTTAACTGCCATCATGAGTCACCACAAGGCTCGCCTGGGTGGATTTCCTGCCATCTTCGATACTGGAATCCTTATTTTGTGCTATTTCTTCGATGCTGGAGCGACGTAGTCGTGGCGAAGAACGCAAGAGCGTGAACTGGTCTTGTAGCTCCGTCAACGTGCCATCCCCCACAATCTGCCCGTCAGACATGACCAACACTCGATCGGCGTGTTGTAACAAATGGTAGTGCGAGTTCAACACCAACAACCTCGTTGTTCGACTCGCTATCCCCATAAGACCGTCCGAGAATACTGCATTCGCCACATGCACGTCCAAAGCACTGAGAGGGTCATCCAGTACAACAAAATCGAACTTAGCAGCACGATACATGGCACGAGCCACAGCGATGCGAGCCTTCTGACCGCCACTCAAATTGATGCCACGCTCTCCGATCTCCGTTTGATCTCCGTGTTCAAGTATCTTGAAGTCTGGAGTGAGTTGGCAAGCAGCGACCACATTTTGACAATGTTCGTTTTCGTAACTTTCCCCAAAGAGAATATTCTCACGTACAGTTTGGTTCTGGATCCACGCTTGCTGACTGGCATAGGCAATGTTACCATTAACGGGACGCTTACCACGGGTTTGGAGCATCTCACCGAGGATAGCGTTAACAAGGCTGGACTTACCACTACCAACGGAGCCGACTACGACAGTGAGAGAGCCAGGTTGGAGTGATACGCTGATGTTAGATAACGTTGGTGTGGTCGCGTCTTCCTCCCACTTGAAATCTGCACTTTCCATTGAGATGTGAGGCGAAATGTTACGTTTAGAGACGTCTTGTTGCGTGATATTGCCGGTAGTTTCTCCAGCGCCAAGGAAGTCAGACAGCCGACTCGTTGACGTGATAGCTTCAGCAACAGCAACTGAGGCGTCTGCGAAGATGCTGAACGGTGTTCTACACGCATTTGTTAGTGCCACGATAGCGAATGTTGTCGGGATATCGAGAGTGTTACCCAGAAGGATCGTCGTAGTGAAACACACCAAGTTGAGCAGCGTTGGGGCCAAGAACATCAGTACAGTGTTGGCAAGACGTACGTAGTTGTACTTGCGCAGTAGTGCGATCTCCCGGTGCCAATCAAATCTAAGGCGAAGCCTTCCCAGCTGTAGAACTTGACATCCCGAATGCCTTGTAACATTTCGCTCGTAACTTTCAACCGATTCGCACTTAATCGAGAGATTTGACGACGATAATCACCAATCTTTTTGGACATGAAGAGCGAGGTGTACATGATTACTGCGATCGCCACTGAAGTTACAAGAGCGACGATCACGTCCATTTGCGTGCCGATCAGAACCCCCACGACCATCAACATGAGTGGCGAAATAGTGCACCACATACCCAATTTGTATGCCGAGAGAACTCGGTCACTGTCAACCCCCACAAACGTCACTATCTCCCCAGTATCCATCGTTCGTCGAGCTATAGCGGAGAGGCGTAGGATCTTCCGAAACGCGCTGTTGATGCAAATCATGCGCGCGTTACAGGCAACGCGGGTCGTGAGGAATTGTCCTGCGTTGACTGTTGTAGCTCCAATGAAAGCTGTGCAGCCTACCTAGAAAGACAGCCAAAGCGTATCCTGACGAGATGCCGAGCGAATTCTCTTCGCCATTGATAGTTTGTAAGATGGCCTTGATCAAGAACGGTTGGAAGAGAATGAGGCCAGCACTTGCCACGTGAAGCACGAGCGCGATCCCCCATGTTTGTTTGACACTCTCCCAGATGGCTCGATTCACGTTTGGACGTTTGGGTGAACCATTTCTTTTGGATTTCCCAACGACTTTTTCTGACTCGAGCTCATAGGATTTGTCGAATTTTACTTGAAGTGGACGAGCTTGGTCATCGGTGGGGAGGTCCCAGACACTGTTCTCGTCTAGAGGTGACTGGTAGCCGCGCTTGAGCAGAGGATGAATCCACCACATTGTCGCGACTGACAGAAACCCAGCAGTATTGAGTGGATTCTTTTTGTCAAGGTCTTCGTTGTGTTCTTTGAAGGAAGCTTCACTTGACCATGACCCAGCTGCAGTACTCGTCTTTGCTGCAAGGTAGTCGCCATCCATTTTAGGTTTGGACATAGTTATCCCTTGTTCGAGGTGGTTCTTTAATCACGGCAATAGTCTTCTCCACCAACGTCGTTGCAATAATTTGAGTTTGAAAAAGCAGGCAAAAGCTAGAGTGAGTAGCTCGTACGCTCTTCAGTGCTGACTTTGTGCCATCAGGACGGTAGTCTAACAACCGCCTGGATCGTTTTCGTCTATAGATCCTGCGTTTTGGCGAGATTACCGAACTGAATGCAGTACTCGCCATTACAGGGGGGGTAGAATTTTAACGGGGTCGTATACAGGTCAGGCCTGATTATCGGGTCAGGTTCCATTTCCACTCGTCGGAAATAGTTCTAGTGCGGTCGGCTATTTCGGTCTGAACTATATAAACAATGCTAGAAGGCAGCCATTCAGAGTTACCTGGATCAAGTGCAACCAGGTATGGTTACCAACTTCCATGGCTGTTTCAAAACTCCCGCGAGCACTAGAAACCACTACTTAGGGGTTTCTTAACAACCATTTTGTTCTGATGTGAGCCCGTGCACTATTTCCATTCTTTCTTCTTTTCCAACAAGTCGAACGAACACAACTTCTTCCATGGCCGACGTAGACCCCAACGTCCCTGACCCAGACGCAGCATCCTTAGTCGAGCCAACTCGGTCGACGGTTGCTCCACGTAGCAATGTAACACACGACACTTCTTCAGTTCCGGCAGGTGGGTTGACCCTCCCGCACTCATCAGCAGCTCGCAATGGTAGATACTCAACCATTATAAACATCAGTGGCTATCAGTACACCAAAGCGTGGTCCTCACGTCGTAAGGTCGTGTATCGCTGCAGTTACTATCGAGGGCAACAATGCAGCGGCAAGGTGGAGCTGGTTTCGGAGTCCATGGAATATGGAAATTTTGTACCGCATACTTGCAGAAGGGATCGCATACCTCTTGCCCAGCCTCTAGATATTGTGGCCGACATGCAAGCCGCAGTCGATAACCTAGCACGTACCGAAATGTCGCTCCCGGCAGCGACTATCTGGAGTCGAGTCGATGAACAGTTCTACGGCGGCGGTCAAAACCAGGCACTTGTTGGTTTGTCTCGTGAGCAAGTTCTCAGTCGAGTCTATCGTGTACGAGACCGTCATTTCGGTGGAAATGTACATGGTCGTGTTGAACTTCCACCTCTTTCTCGAGTCCGAGATCAACCGATCAACTTTTTTCAATTTCACTACATCAGTGGGTTTAATGACAACGAAACCCCCTGTCGAATGATCGGGTGGGCGCACCCGGAGTTAATTTCGCTGCTTAAGTACGCTGGTACATCAATATTTATTGACGGTACTTTCCGGTGTGTGCCTCGTGGCTTCAAGCAATGCGTTGTTCTCATGGTTTTCGATCGGTCCACTGGATACTACTGCCCAGTGTTCTACGTCTTGACATCCCATCGGACTAATGACACCTATTTTGACGTCCTTCATTTCATCATGCAAGCTACGGATCAAAAACTCGACCCGGCGGAGGTCGTCTGCGACTTTGAACGTGCTCTGATCGACGCAGTTGGCGTCCAATTCCCGAACGCACAAGTGATCGGCTGCCTGTTCCATTTTAAACAGGCAGTCCGCCGTAAAATGCGCAAGTTAGGTATAACGAACACAGCTGCATCAATCGCTATGACCCCTGGTGTACTAGATATGCTAACCGTCGTGCCGGAGGACCGGATCGAGGTTGGAGGCATTACGTGGGTCAAGCGTCAAATCAAGGGTCGCTGCCGCAGCGACGGTGTCCCCTACGCTCGCTCTAAGTGGCGTTGCTTTTGGAACTATTTCAAGAGAACCTGGCTGGAGCTCTACGATACTGGGCTATGGAATGTCCACGGTCTAAATGAACGGCTTGTCGCTCGAACGAATAATCCATTAGAGAGGTTCAACAGAGAGTTGAACGCCGCTTTCTCGACACCACACCCCAGTCTTACGAACTTTGTAGGTACTATTGAGGCTTTAGCGCGAGGCCATGTCGCTGATATTGCCGCTATTCGTAGTCGCCGATCCCGTGGTAGAACTCATGAGACCATCCAGCTTCCTCGCCCTGTGGATCTTCCTACAGAAGAAGAAGAATCGAGCAGTGAAGAAGATGACGAGGCTGTAGATGTCGACAGTGATGATGACAACGATGGCGTATCTGGTACTAGCAGCGAAGAGGACGCTGCTGCTACCAATTGGGGCGCAGATGTGATCAGCAATGACAGTGATGCCGATGATGGCGACACTAATGCCGACCAACTTCGTGCCGCGCAGACCATCGTGGTTTAAGCTTTTTTACCCAACTACTTAGCTTCGTATCTTTCACTTCAATATATAGCTTAGCAATTGGTCTTGTGTTTGGTAGGGCCTGGCATTTTGGTCAGGAAACCCGCCAGACCCAATTATCAGGCCCTACCCGTATACGACCCCAAAAATAGCTAACCACAGGGGGGGGTTGTGTATCTTAGTTTAAGCCATAACGACCGAAAAAAAAGAACCCGGAGCGTCGCCTTGTTGTCTGTCTGCCCTCAAACCGCCAACAGTAAACTTAACTGAACCGCTCTCTCGTCGCCCAAATTCGTCCGATCTGGTGTGAACGCAACCGAAAGTGAGACCATCTAAATAGGGTGTTAGATTGAATGGGTACACATTCGAAAGAACCCACAGGTAACACCGCCCTGCCCATTCCAATGCCATCCCTCAATACCGTAGCACAATAGGCGTGAGGGTAGACGTATTTGTGCCCAAGAGCTCACGAATAATTATTACATCATAGAGACCAACTTGTCAGCATTCGCTGCTGTTTTATTCTAGCAAACATAAAGAGCCAACTTGAGCGTATACAGAAGTACAAAAGGAAAGACTACCGGAAGACCCGGAACTATGGGTGTTTAGTTAGAAGATTTTGTACAGTAGCGAGTGACTACCGGTAGCCGGTTCGAAGGAGGCAAGACTGGCGACGACACGAGATTAATAAAGGGCCTTCCAGGGGAAACACCTTAAATACTTAGTTCGTCAAGGAGAAAAAGAAGGAGGCTGCAGTCGCGGCGCTCAAGCGGAGGCGGACTTACAGGGGGTGGTACGTCGACGGAAAAACAGAGAAAGAAGTACGCAAGATTTTCGCAGTTTCGGCAACAGGAGAAGCCAAGAACCACCCAAACTGGGCAGATTTTCAGGAATACTTAAACGTCGTCAAATAATACTCTTAAGTAGTTTTTTCATCGGTATAAAAGCATTGAAAAATAGATTTATACGCTTGTTTTATCCTTATTGAGGGACGTCCATCACTTGTGTCCGCACCTGCATGGAGCATGCGTTTTTTTCCAAACTCCACGGCGCTTGCAAAGGTCTGTAAGTAACTTACTACGGTGGGAAGTACTATGTCCATCGGCTACTCGCTTTGGATGCCTACACTAGGAATACGTTCCTGAGGCACGTGCTGCTTGTGTGTATTGTGGCTCCTCTCCCCATGGTGGCATTTGTGAGCAGCCAAGCCGAATTCCTCTTCAAGATCCAGCACAAGGATGGCGTGTAAATAACGGGTTCTGGATTCGATCTGGAATTTTATCTTTCGTGGTAGCGCACACTTTGACATCCCAAGCAACGTGTTTAATTGATAATGTCGTGATCTCGGTGGCCAGAATGATCGCGCTTTCCGGTTGTACATCGATCTTGTTCACTGCAGGGATCTCAGCTATACTTATCTTTACTGTACCGTTTTTCCTCTTGACGTTAGCTCTGGTATTTTACGTCTCTCTGATCATGTCGTATCGTATCGTATTGGGGACCCACACGCTTCGTCAAATGGTAGAAAGTCGTGACCAGTTGACCCGGTTTATCAGCTTCATAGTAGCTCAAAGCATCATGGTGTTAACGTATCCCGCGTACGAAGCTCTTTTCCGATTCGCTAAAGGATCATCGTACCAATAACCGGTTATCCTTCTCCTGCCTTTCATCAAAGTTGCTGTGAAAAATATGGTGTTACGATGTATGGCAAGTATGGAGGATATGTTACCGGAAGCTGTAATTTTCACGGTAGATTTCTTTAATGCTGTCTACGTGGCCACCAGTATGCAGAGTGCGTCCTCTGCGACTGCGATCACAGCAATCACGACCACGGATCAGTCTCAGACGATTATTATGTTGTTTGGCTTGCATCACCGAACTGCATAATTGCTACCAAGACTCTGCCAGACAATTGATATCGACCCGAGTGGCTGCGATTTAGTGAGCGCTCTCTGTGCTTTGTGTGGAGATTCTAAGAAATTCAAGAAGCAGACACGTACCGATGTCAGTATACGGTCCTGCCTCCCACTAGTCTTAGCTGACGAGGACAGGGAAATACTAGCAAGACTGGAAAGGTTGTCTAGCGAAGAGAGCTCTGATGTTGACCATGTACTGAAGATCGCGTCGTCTTCCAGTGTACAACATTTAGTGATTTATGGCAAGAAACCCAAACGTAAATTCCACAATATTCTTGTCCGGAAGCACAACGACGTGGTTCATCCGTTATCTTCGGTTAACGCTACCGTAACGTGGGCTACTAAGATACACCGTCATAAGAGCAGTCAGAGTGGCACTATTCTGCGTGAAGCACTGGGAGCGCTGTTCACGACCGAGTGTATCATCGTCACTGCGTATTTGGAGGCCATAGTACCCTTGTTTTATTGCTGTTATATGGTCGTAATGACTCACCTCCCGAGTACAAAATATCATACCGAAATGGGCAACGTGACGCCTGCAAACGTGGGTGCTACTGTTGTTCCGGTGTTCGTGTTTGGACTGCTTCAGATCGCGACTTTCGTGCTGTTAGCGGTGGTAATCAAGAAGAATTGCGGGATGAATATGTTGTACCAACTCGGCTT